CACTGTTCTTCAGCTCTTCAGCTCAAGGCTGGCACTCTACCACTTGAGCCACAGCACCACTTGCAGCTTTTTCTGCTTATGTGGTGCTGAGAAATCGAATCCAGAGCCTCATGCATGCAAGGCAAGCGCTCTACCACTGAGCCACCTCCCAGCCCCATGTGTATGTTTAAAGACACTGACTGTATCTGGATGAGAAGCCATTCTGTGTGAGAGGTCATCTGACCTCCAGATTGTCTGCTTGTCTGTCTCATTTCTCCCATGCTGCATATTGTTTACCTTTTAGACGTTTCCTAGTCCCGAGCTGCCTATCTCTGCATTGGCTGGGAAGGCTGACTTCTCTGGGCTGTCTGACTCCCTTGTCCTCTAGCTTCTGTATGAGTTTGGCCAGTGGGACACACCGGTGGAGGATGAGAGGATGGGAAGTGGGAGAGGGGAGAGGTTCAGGCATTTGTTCTTCCTTCCAACTCCCTGTTTTGACATGTGTGGTGGGAGACTACTCAGAGATGGCTCCTCTGATTCCTAGCACAAGTAACTCCATCTTGTAGTGAGTTTCACTATTTAGCAGTGCATCTTGGTAGCACAATACGTCCCCACTTCCAAGGTCAGATGTTGTCTGCCAAGGTCATGAAGACCCGTGAGAAGAGCCGGGTTGGGAGCAGGCATCCTTGTGCAACCTTATGAGTCTTGTGTTTGAGCCTGTTGTTGTTTCTGTGGTTTTGAGCTCAGGTGGTGCTGTAGTTCAGACTCTGCTGTAAACTTCTAACCATATAGAGGAGAGTTTGGCAGGCAGGGATTGGAGAGATCCTACATAACAGCTGCTCAAAAATTATGGAGCAGGCTGAGTAAATACAGTTTCCTGTAGAGATCCATTGCTCTATAAGAAACCCCCATGTAGCTGTCAGCACCATTCTAGTTGGGAGGCACATGACTCTGGGGGCCTCAGGAGGAAGCAATATTGGGCATCCCAATGATGCCCACTTTCTGGTACTCACTTGTATGGTCTCCTCCTGTTACAGATGGGTAAAGACCTAGGGATTCACTAGCGATTCACTTCTAATAACCATGAGATTACAAAAGCGATGGGAGTCACTTCTGAGATTAGGCCACAGAACACCGAATTTTGTCTTGCTTAAGCACAGAAACTCTAAATTTTCTTGATTTGCTTGCTCTGTCTAGGTAAGCTGCCATGGAGTGAAACGCCTTATGAAGAGGCCCAAATAGCAAGGACCGAGGGCAGCCGATGTCGGTAGCCTGTGAGGAATGAGGCCCCCAGTCCAAGTCCGTATGGAACGGACCACTGCCAATCCCTTCGTAGTTGACTTTGGATGGATCCTGGCCCAGATGAGTTCTGTTGTCAATGTAGCCTCAACAGTGCCTTGCACAAAGCCTTGTTAGAGATGGAAGGATTGAGGACACAGCTGCTAAACTGTATCGAAATGAGACTCCTGATACACAGTGGCAGTGAGAGTAAAATGAAAGTGATGTTGGTTAAAAGCTACTGAATGGTCTGGAATAATGTAGTTTGCAGCCACAGATGTAATACAGCATGGTGTGGCAATGGTAGATCTCCTGTGACGGTAGCTTGTGTCTGGTGGCTTCTGTGCCAGAGCCTTGCCTCTCCACATGGGTCTCAGGACACCATTTCTTCCTCTGCTGCTTCAGGGTTAGAGCTGGCAATGGATTACTGCTGCCACCAGTCTTTGTAAAGATTATTTATTTGTTTACTTATTTATTTGTCATTACTGGGGCTTGAACTCAAAGCCTGGGTGCCGTCCTTGAACTTTTTTGTTCAAGGCTAGCACTCTGCCAGTTGAACCATAGCTCCATTTCTGGCTTTTCCCCCTGGCTAATTAGACATAAACGTCTCACAGATTTTCCTGCTTTGATCCATGATCCTCAGATCTCAGCTTTCTGAGTTGCTAGGTGTATAGGTATGAACCACTGGTGCCTGACTCTTGCTCTGTTTTTCTTAACAAAGATGCAGTATGATCTATGTGCCAAGCACTGTTCTTAAGGTTTTGTAAATTTTAATCATGTTGAATACTGACAACTCAGTTAGCTAAGTACTCACTGGATAAGAATACTGTTGGGCTTCTAAGTTACAGATGGGCAAACCAAGGCAAAGGTCAGGGGTGGAACTGTCCCATGATGACACAGCAAGTAACACAGCTGGATTTTAAACACAACCTTTCTGAGCTTCAGAGTCTGTGGCAAACCACTACCAATCCCTGTTGAAATGGTAAATTCCATTTTATAGTAAATACTTAGTTCTCTCATCAGTTAGTGGTTCTCTAAGGATACAGAACCAATTACACATGCGTGCATGCATGTGGGGTATGTGTGTGTGTGTGTGTGTGTGTGTGTAGGAGGGAGAGAAAGAGGCAGAGGGAAGGAGAGTGAGTGAGCAAGGGAGAGTTATTTTAAAGAAATTGGATCATGTGATCCAACTTTTTCTATATAGTTCAATTCCAAAGGTTTTCTTCTGGCAGAATTTCCTCTTGCTTGGGGGAAGGTCACTCTTCAGTTCTGTTCAGGTCTTCATTGGTTGAGCGAACCCCCTCACTTCCTGAAAAGCAATCTGCTCTACTGAAAGTCCATCATTTTAAATGTTAATCTCATCTCCAAACACCCGGACAGAAACACTTATGTTTGGCCACATATCTTGGTATTATGGCCAGCCAACTAGGCATCTAAAATCAATCATGAGAGCATCCTTTAAGATTCTGGAAATTTTGTTTTGTTTTGTTTAGCTTTGGTCAGTCGTGGGGCTTGAACTCTAGGCCTGGGTGCTGTCCCTGAGCTCTTCAGCTCAAGGCTAGTGCTCTACCACTTGAGCCACAGTGCCACTTCCAGCCTTTTCTGTTTATGTAGTGCTGAGGAATCGGACCCAGGGCCTCATGCATGCAAGGCAAACACTCCACCACTGAGCCACCTTCCCAGCACTGATTCTGGAAAATTTAATGGCAATAAAGTGGGACTCCGTGAGAACAAAACAGACATGTTGTGTGCAACTTCAGAAGTGTTTCTGCTAACCTTAAGGCAAAGAAATAGATATATTTGGTTATGGGGCTTGAACTCAGGGCCTGGGTGCTGTCCCTGAGCTTTTTCACTCAAGGTTAGTGTGCTACCACTTTGACCCGCATCCAAGAATTATATTTTTTATACTCTGAGTTTGGCAGGTGAAGCGGGAGCCTCAGAGAGGCCCAGAATGAGTCTCTAAGGAAGCCCAAGAGGCCTGCCCTTCTTCTTTCAGTGGCTCAAGTAGAAGGAACAATCATAGCTTCTGTGTGGTCTAGATGCCTCATTTGGAAATGACCAGGCAGAGATCTGGGATCAAAGGCCAGGGTTAGAGGCTGCAATTCAATGTCTACAGGAGTCCAGTAAGTGACATGCTGTCAGGTAAACAACAGCACAAGTGCATCGATGTGTGAAACCTGTCCCTTCATTTCAGGTTCAGAGAGCCAGGAGGAAGTGGCAGAGCTGGAGTTAGGTGCCGTCTGCCTACCTGACCTGAAGCAATCAGGAGCATCTCCCTTGAACTCACATTCTCATTCTCTAAGAGAACTTGAAGAATCTGAATTTCTTGTGGAATCTCCTGATTCTCTTCTCAGTTTCTACATTTTATGAAATATTTGTACTTTTATGCTTATTTTTAAAAATGATACATAGAAGTATGTGTATCCGATAAAACCTCATGTTTTGAAACATGTCTTCATTGTGGAATGGCTAAATGAAGGTAATTATCATCTGACCATTGCTTTTTATTTTGAGAGAACTTTAGACTTACAGGGAATTTGTAAAAATCGTACAAAGAATTTCTACATATGCTTCCTAGGTCCACAGGGACTAGAGTTCCCAGGTGTTACCAGTTAGTCATGCTTGCTTCCTTCCTGCTTTTGTCTTTTTCTGAGCCTTGGGAGAGTTAGAGCTGAAGTTTTATAGACATGGCTGCTCTTGATTGTCTTCATGATGGCAAATCCTGGTTATTTTGGGTTTATCTTTGGAAACAATAGCTGTTTGAACAGTCAGGTCTCAGTAGAATTTTCTTTTTTTTCTCCAAAGAGTGCTTCTAAATAGGTGTTGTGAAAGCTCCCTTTCCTACTTCTTAATGACTTATCAAGGAGATTCTTTCTGTTGGTTCCTCTTGTTGGTGAAGAGTCCATCCAGTTTAAAAGCTTACTTCCACTTCTCTTCCAGCAGACACTTCAGTAGAGATACATGGAAGGGAGAAGGGTCTGTTTTCGATTGTTGGCAGGTGGAATAGGTGAGGGAGAGCTCTTTGAAGGCTACTGATCCAAGTCAATAGGGAAAAATCTTGATATCTTTCTGGCTTGTTCTCCTCTGGAGCCCTCTACTAATGCAGAGTGTAACAGAGTCCTTTTAGAGGGTGCTTAGCTACACTCCAGCCCCTCAAAGAGTGGCCATTCCTTTAAGCCTGCCCATTGGTCCACCTCCACCACCTGTTTACCACGTGCTGTCTCCTTTCCTCTGGCCTAGAGGCCCCCCCTTTTGCAGCCTCTTGATCCCTCTTCTAAAAGCATTCGTGGGAGCAACGGGAAACTCTAAGTTCTTTTCCTTGTCCTTCAAAGGCCTTGAGAGAATGGTGTAGAAATGTATTTTTCACCTCTTACATGAGCTACTATGGAAAACTTTCTCTCCCCAGAAATGGAAGATGTTATGCAGATACCTGTTTCTTTGTTTACACTGTCCTGTTGATAGAGTTTCTATGCTCATATCAATATTTTTTCTTGTGTCACCTTCCTGCTAGGTATTTCCCAGCTCTGGTCATTAGATGTGACCACAGGACTGAGATCTTACATAGGTCTTGCTCACTCATACACATCCCTAAGCAATCTGCTTTGTGTTTTATTCCCCCCCTCCCCACACACACTGTTTTGATGTTGAATGTTCGCCAAAATTAATGAATTGAAGATTGGTTAGCCCCCAGGGTTTTGCTACTAGATGGTGCTATTAGGTGAGTCAGGGCCTAGTCACTGAGCCTTCTGGAGTGTCTTTCCATCATTAGGAGCATGACTTCGCAGGGGATTGTGGGAGTTATGCCTCTTCCTGTCTCTCTTTGCCTCCTGGCTCACAAGGCAAGCACTTGGCTTCACTCCATACTCCCCATAATTGCCATCTTCATCAGAGACCCAGAGCAACAGGCCCTCTCAGTCTTGAACTAGAACCTCTAAAGATTGTGAACCCAAAATAATCCTAAGTCAGTCATCCCGGTATTTAGTTACAGTAACACAAAGCTAACACATCCCCTCTTCTATCACTAGAATTGTGATACAGATAGAATGATCTTGAAGCTAACTATTGAAGGTGACAGAGCTATTGCCCACATGAATCCCCAAATGACTCAGTGGAGAAGATTGTCTCCTCATTTAGGGGCATACCCCACTAATGGCTCCGTGAGTTTGTTTTCATATTTTTTATTTTTAGATAGCACTTAGGTTTGAACTCAGGGCTTTGCATACTTGCTAGACAGCCACTCTACCATTTGAACCACCCTTCAGCCTCAAGGTGGGATTTTTTTTTTGGTATATGTGTGTGTGGTGTGTTGATTCTGGGACTTGAACTCAGGGCTTTGAACTCTTGCCTAGCTTAAGGCTAGTGCCCTACCACTTGAGCCACACCTCTATTGCTGGACCTTTTCTGGTTAATTGAAGGAAAATTCACTTGGATTTGTCTGCCTGTTCTGGCTTTGAATTGCCATCCTTTGATCTCAGCTTCCTGGGTAGCGAAGATTACAGGTGTAAGTCACTGGTGTCAGCCCTAGATTTAAGTTCATAATGGAATACAGGGAACTTGGGGCCTGGGCTTTCTAACTATGGGCCCTAGACAACATCCTGGAAAATGGACAGATTCTTATTGAGCACTCTTATGGACAGTAATAAGGCACTGGACAGTCACCAACTTGGGAATTGAGGCTCAGCTCCCCCAGGCCTGGGTTGAAGGAGTGGGATTGAATGGGAGAGCTTGCTTGCTGCAGCTTGTTCTCTTCTGGAAAGCTAACTCTGAAGTTGAGGTTCAAGGGGAAGAATTAGGGTGTCTACTGAGGCCTCATGGAGAGCTCTTCCTCCTTTTAGGCTTCTGTCTGAGTTTCTTACCCTAGCCTCCTAAAGGAACACACAATACTCATATATATATAGACTGTTTGACGCTTTCAATGTTTTTCTATTTAATTAATTAGTTATTGTATGCTCAAGGCCTGGTCCTCTTGAGCATCACTTCTTATCTTCTTATATCTTTAGCTTTGGGTCAATTTTGTTCTTGATGTCACCAATCTTATCCTCAGAGTCACGAATGGTTTCTGGAACAGTCATAAGTTAATAAAATGAGGGAAGGAGTTGAGAAGAAGAAAGCAAAGAGAAAGAAAAAAGAGAGCATGGAAGTTAGGAAGGAGAGAAAAGAAAAGAAGATGAGTGAGGATCTAAAGACCCCAGGCTCCAGCTTTACCCCTGACTTTCCTTCCCAACTCCAACTTCTGTCCTCCAAGCTCACTGAGATACTATAGCAAGCCAGGGGATGGAGGTTAGATTGGGTCCAGGATGAGCCTATCCCCTGTCCCTACTTTGGAAAGGGGACAAGAGGCAAAAAGAGGATGGAAATAGGCAGGCTATGAATATCAGAAAGACTGGGGGTTAAACTCAAGGGACAATCAATAACAGAAATTGGGATCTAGATGAGGAATTGGAGGTATTTGAGAACACAAAGTGAGGGAAGTGTCAGTGTCAGGGGCTGTGGTTTTTCTAATCTCATGAGGAGGGGCAGAGCTGAGCTACAGGGTGGTCTTGAGAGAGGTGTGCCAATGATTCTTTGGAGCTCAGAGGCTTCACATGGGGACACACTCACCTTCACCCTTGTGTTTCAGATCTTCAAATTTTTCCACTGTATTTGATGTTGGTATAATTTGGGGAGGGGAAGGGAAAAAGCAAATTGTTTAAATAGGGATACAGGTGGACCCATTGCAACAATGAGATGGACAAGACGTTATGTTGAAACTTTACAACTTTGGAGGGGTGAGGGGGTGGGGGAGGGGGAGGGGGTGATGGGAAGGTATGGGAAGGGGAAACAAAGGAGGAGGCAACAATGCTTGATAAGAAATGTACTATTACCTTGCTCATGTAATTGTAACCCCTCTGTATGGTATTTTCACAATAAAAATATCATGGAAAATTTTGTTGTGCTTTGTTTTTGATTTCCTTCAAATAGTCTGTTCTCTCCTGGCCTTTGTCTAGTATGGATCCTAATTATTCAGATAAATTAGCATAGGTCCATCAATTGGAAAAGATGCTTCATTTGTAGGATAGTTACTCCTCCCTCCCACCATGTCCTGGGTGCCATGGGCACTCCTTTGCTGAGGGAACATATTTCTCTTTTATGGGAAGGATAGCAGGCAAGTACAATATACTGCACAGCACAATCTACTGCACTGGAAGTCTTGCGTATAGAAGCAGATGTATACAACTCCCCCACTCCCTAGGAACTGTGTGTTGGCCTGTGTTTATGTCTGTAACTGTGGGCTGCCCTGGAGATCCTATTGTTTGTGGATCAAAATTCAAGACCCTCACATTGACACTTACCCAGAAGATTGGGCCTCTGCTTCTTCAAGTGCTGTAACATCTTTGTGGCAAGCCCCATAGTTGTTTCATTTTCCTTTATGGCAGCTGATGCCTCATGGGATACTACAGAGGTTGAGAAGGGGCAAGGAATAATAACTTTTCCCCTGGGGTATGGTGGGTGGGGCTTGTTCTTCTAAGCTCTGGACATCTTCTCCTTGAGTGCTCTTCGAGCTTGACTTTCATCATCTGCTAAGATTTGGTTTTTAGCATCCATATGTCTCTTGCTTTCTCAAAACCTTTTCCTGCTTCCCCAGGGTATTTTCCTAGGGTGGATTAGTGTTCAGCTCTGTTGACAGCAAAGTCACAGAAAGAACCCCCTCAGCTTTCATCCCTTGCATCACCCCCACTCTCAGGATTGCTCTATGCTTCTCCTTTCATCACACCCTTGGTGTTTTATTTTTGTCATTCATGCGGCCTGAACTCTGGGCCTAGGGGCTGTCCCTCAGCTCTTCAGCTCAAGGTTAGCGCTGTACCATTTGAGCCACAGTGCCACTTCTGGCCTTTTCTGCTTATGTGGTGCTGAAGAATCGAACCCAGGGCTTCATGCATGCAAGGCAAACACTCTACCACTGAGCCAGCTTCCCAGCCCCTTAGTGGTTAACTCTTTCCCTAGGACCTGAGCCAAGAGGGAGAAAAAGGACTCATGGTTCACAGATTCTGGGGCAGAAGCAGCCTCTGGGTTACCTGCAAAGAAGTCAAGTAGGGTGCAGTGGCTTAGCCCTATTCAGCTGAGGCTGCCAGGAGCTCCCAGACCGCTCATCTCAGGACATGTCTATAGACAATCTCTGCTACCTACATGAGGGATATGCCAAAGATGAGTTTTGATATCTAAACCAAATGCATCTCTATGTTATCTTTCCAGACTGGGTCAGCTGTCTCTCCTCTATAGCTTATTAGATGTCTGAGTTTCATGATTAAAATCAAAAGGACAAGGTCTGGTTGTGGTCAAGGGCAAACCCAGTTCTGATAACCACCTGATATGAGCACTTATGCTCTCCATTCTTTTGTTCTGTTTTTTTTTCTGTTTATTTGGAGGTAGTGAGATTTGAACTCAGGGCTTATGCTTGCTTGGCTGTCTGTCTACCACTTGAATCATGCCTCTCGCCTGGCTTTTTTTTGGCTATTTAATCAGAGTCTTGTAGAATTTACTTACTGGGTTGCTTTCTTTTTCAATTTTAATTAATTAATTAATTAATATTTGTGCTAGTACTGGGGCTTGAACTTAGGGCCTTGTGCTCTTACGTGGCTTTTAATTTTTTCCTGATCAAGGCTGGTGCTCTACAACTTGAGTCACACCTTCACCTCTGGCTATTTTTTTTTTCTGGTTAATTGAGGATGAGAGTCTCATGGATTTGTCTGCCTTGGCTGGTTTTGAATCTTGGTCCTCAATTCTCAACCTTCTGAGCAGGGAGGATTACAAGCATGAGCTACCAGTGTTGGTTTGGTTTTGAAGCTCTATCCTCCAGGTCTCTGCTTCCTGAATAGTTAGGGTTCCAGGCATGAGAAATGGGCACTTTTCTCTGTCCTTGTATCAGTATGAATATAGCACAGAAAATGCTGGCAGTGTTTTAGAAGAGCTAGGGATATAGCTGTGGGGAGATAGACAGTCTTTGTTTGGGGAAGCTGACAGTCAATACTGGATTTGGAGGAATGAACATAATTACATTAATAATTATTTAATGAATTTGTGACAATGCTAGGAGGGAAATATACAAAAGTCAATCTTAAAAACAAACAACAACCCTAGGAACTTTGACCATTCTGGGCCTTCAGGAAGGCTGCTCAGAGGAAAGTAATTGGCCCAGAAAAGTATAGAGACAAACATTGTGAAGGTTGGGTAGGGGAGAGGTTGACAGGGGATAGGAGTGGAGGGGCGGTGGGGCATGGGCAAAAGGATGTGGAGAAGTCTTGGTAGTAGGGAACATCAGGGCAGATTGAGGGGACAAAAATGCTTTAGTGGCTGGAGCAGTGTGGGTAAATTGGACATGGGAAGGGTATTTGGCTGTAGAGCTAGGCTAGGGCTGCCAGGGAGCTTGTGGCTCCCTCTGGGCAGTGAACACAGGGGCTGTGTGGGGGAGTCTGCTAGGAGGTTGGAGTGGGCTGCTGGGACAGGTTTGGGACTGCTGTCTCTGCTGAGGAGGGCGGGGACCATTCTTCAGGAGAGGGGTGCAGGTAAAGGCCATACTCACTGGCATAGACCAGGGTCCCCAGCAGAGAAAGAGGAAAGCTGTGTGTCTCATGCTTCTGCAGGCCGGAGTGGGTAGGCTTCAGGATTCCCTGGAGATCCTCAGATCTATAGTATCCTCTGTCCTTCTGGGCCTCTTTTAATCATGATAGGAACGAATGGGAGCCAGCCTGCCAGTGGTGTGTTCTCTTCTCCTCCCCTTCTCCCACCTCAGAGCCACTTGCTAAGTCAACAAGGGCTGGCTTGGGCCAGCTGGTGCCTGTATTCCCTGCAGGTAGGTTCTAGACAGCAATTCTGGAGCTGGCATTGTCCTGCTTGGCATCTTTTTCCTCTCTCTGCTTTCCCCAGTCCACCTATCACTTGGCTTTCCATCTTTGATGCCATCTGAGGTCCTGGGGAGACTTTGAGGGCTCTGGTAAGCAGGTTGTGACCAGAAATGTCTGCCCCCATGAAGAACAGAAGGTGTCTGAGGATATGATCTGCTTCCTCGGGGATGGGATTTCTCTAGAGTGGGTCAAGCCTATCCCAAGTAGCTTCTCTCCAGAGTTTTCAGGGGCTCCTCTTAGTAAACTAAGGTCCAGAGACCCTAAGGTTCTCTACATTGCAGCTAGAGCTTTTGAGACTCAGTAGTCCCTAACTAAAATGTCTTCAGTCCCAGTCAATGATTTTAAACTCCAAGAAAAATTTCCAGTGAAGTAGCAAGAGTATGAATTCAGTTCTTGGCTTGTCTTCAGATGGGAGAGGGTGGCTATTGGTACTCTTCTCTTCCACCTCTCTTCCCTGTCTTTCTCTTCTCTGTTTCTCTCTCTGTCTCTCTGGAAGTTTAAACTCAGGATCTTGTGCTTGCTAGGCAGGTGCTATACTACTTGAGTCATGTCACCACCCTTTTTTTCTTCCCTTATTTTTGAATAGAGTCTCACTTTTTGCTCTAGTGAGTTGGGACTGTGATTCTCCTCTACATGCCTCTTAGATAGCTGGGATGACAGGTGTGCAGTACTACTTGCAGCACTTTTTTTGGGTGCCCAACCCTGTGCTTAAACTCAGAGCCTTGTGCTCTTTTTCACTCATGGAGGGTACTGGACCATCTGAATCACACTTCTAGCCTGCCATTTCACTGGTTAATTGGATATAAGAGTCTCTTGGATTTTTCTACCTGAGTTGACTTTGCACTGTAACCCTCAGATTTCAATCTTCTCAATCGCTAGGGTTACAGTCACCAGCCCCTGGAAGCACCTAGCTTCTTATTGATTGAGATGGAATCTTGAGACCTTTTTGACCTGGCCTTGAACCACAAATCCCACTGATCTTAGCTTCTTGAGTAGCTAGGATTACAGGTATGAGCCTCTGCACTTGGCTAAGAGTTTTCATTTGATCACAAGAAATTACACAAAGATAATATGAAATGTCGATTTCTGATCCTGACAAGTCACTTTCCTGAAGCATCTTCCCTTTGTGTAGTGAGTTCTGCCTATTTCCTCATGCTGCTGTGAAAATGGCTTGGGATTTGTTTCCTGGAGACATTGTACAGGACCAGGCAGACAAAGACGAGTAGGTTGTAGTCTTGCAAGGAGTGATTCACAGTGGGTTAGGACCCCAGAAAGATGAAGAGAAAACTAAGGTGAAGGGGTGGTAGCAGGTGAGTGATGTTCAAGAAGAAGTGGAAACCTATCCTAGCCCAAGAAGCTGGGCATCTGCTCTGCCATTTGCTAGCTGTGTGATCTGGGATGTAGCATCTCTCAGTCTCGGTCTACAGTGTACCGAATAATCCAGGATAGTTAGAATTTCAGTGGGAAAAGCTCCTGGGATTTCTTTCTGAGGTTCCTCTCTGTGTTCCCTGATATGTGGCCCCTCACCTCTGCAAGAACTTGTTTTATCAGGCATCCTCTTGTCTCTCTTCATTGTGAGCTTCTTGGCTCTCTTCCCTAACATATGGATATCTTAGGTAGAAATGAACAAAACATTTCCTTTCCACTATCCCTTTCTAACTCCTTTAGCAAACCAATCCTTTAACAACCAAGCCTTTTGAAAACAACCACATTCTGCATTTGCTTTGGTATCCCTATTTTCAGTACTGTTTTGCTGTATATTGTCATCATCCGTAGCATTTTCAATACCATCTCTGGAACAGAAACAAAAATCTTTGCCAACCTAGGAATTAACTTAACTAAAGAAGTGAAGGACCTCTATGATGAAAACTTTAAAATCTTGAAAAAGGAAATCAACACAGAACTTAAAAAATGGCAAAACCTCCCATGCTCCTGGATTGCAAAGATTAACATTGTGAAAATGGCAACACTTCCCAAGGCTATCTACAAATTCAACGCAATACCTATCAAAATTCCACCCTCATTCTTCAAGGAAATAGAAGAGGCAATCCAAAAATTCATATGGAACAATAAAAGACCCCGAATAGCAAAAACGCTCCTCAATGGAAGGAACACTGCTGGAGGAATATCAATACCAAATTTCAAACTCTACTATAAAGCCATAGTAATCAAAACAGCTTGGTATTGGCATAAGAACAGACCTCAGGACCAATGGAATAGAATTGAAAACCCAGAAATGAACCTACAGACCTATAGCCATCTAATCTTCGATAAGGGAGCTAAAACAATAGAATGGAAGACAGACAGCCTCTTCAGTAAATGGTGCTGGCAAAACTGGTTAACTACATGTAGAAAACTAAAGCTAGATCCTTACATATCACCCTGTACCAGAATCGACTCCAAATGGATCAAAGACCTTGAAGTCAAAGCAGACACTCTGAAAACATTACAGGATGGAATAGGAGAAACTCTGGGTCTCCTTGGCTCAGGCTGAAATTTTCTGAATAGAGACCCGGAAACACAACAAATCAAAGAAAGGTTGGACAAATGGGATTGCATAAGGTTGCAGAGCTTCTGCAGGGCAAATGACATAGCTAGCAAGATCAATAGAAAGCCCACGGATTGGGAGAAGATCTTTACTAGCCATACAACGGACAAGGGTCTCATATCTAAAATATACTTGGAACTCAAAAAATTAAACCCCCCAACAACAAATCCTCAAAGAAACTACTGCCCAATAAATAAGTGGGCGAAAGACTTAAAGAGAAGCTTCTCTGAAGAAGAAAGAAGGATGGCCAATAGACACATGAAGAAATGTTCAACATCCCTAGCCATAAAAGAAATGCAAATCAAAACAACATTGAGATATCACCTCACTCCAGTTAGAACAGCAAAAATCAAGAACTCTAACAACAACAGATGCTGGAGGGGATGTGGACAGAAAGGAACCTTACTTCATTGTTGGTGGGAATGTAAACTTGTTCAACCACTTTGGAAAGCAGTATGGAGGTTCCTCAAAAGACTTCACATAGAACTCCCCTATGACCCAGCAATCCCACTTTTGGGCATTTACCCTAATGTTTACAAACAAGACCACACTAAAGCTACCAGCACAACTATGTTTATTGCAGCATTATTTACCATAGCTAAGATATGGAACCAACCCAGATGCCCCTCAGTAGATGAATGGATCAAGAAAATGTGGTATATATACACAATGGAATTCTATGCCTCCATCAGAAAGAATGACATTTCCCCATTTGTTAGGACATGGAAAGGCTTGGAAAAAATTATATTTAGTGAAGTAAGCCAGGCCCAAAGAAACGTAGGTCCCATGGTTTCCCTTATTTGCAATATCTAGTATAGGTATGAGTCAAGCGGAAAAAGTCAGATAATGTGATGTTAGGAAAACGAACCCTCAAGTATGTATTTTAATGTTTTTATTTCTTTCATGCATGTGTTTCTAACGCATTTATAAGATTATTTCTTTGTTGCTTTGTATGTCCCTCCCCCACAGTGTAACCCCTGCTTTCACTATATTTGATGTCAGTATAACATGTGGAGGAGACGGGGACAAACAAGTCGTTTAAGGATTCAGGTGGACCTGTTGCAACAATGAGAAGTACAAAATGTCATGTCAAAACCAGCTTTACAATGTCGGTGGGGGGGGGGGGAGGGGGGTATGATTGGGTGGGGGGGAGGGGGGAGGCTGGGAAGGGAGGTGAAGGGTAAACAAAGGAGGAGGCTGCAATGCTTGGTAAGAAATGTATGCATTATCCTGCCCATGTAATTGTAACCCCTCTGTACAGTATGTTCTCAAATAAAATAAAATAAAATTTAAAAAAAAAATCTTTGCCAAGGTACTTAAATACAATCACTGCTTTTCATCTTGATTTTATTTGATCTCTGTGGGTTTGTAATCCTGTTGACCACCATCCTTTGAAATGCTGGCTTTCTTTCTTTCTCCCTTTTTGACCTCCTTTGACGCACCTCCCCTGCCTCCTTCCCTTCCAGTTTCTATTCTTAGCCTTTTTTTCTCTTATGCCCTCTCCCTCCTATTTGACTTATTCGTGGAGTCATGCTTATTGCTCTCACCTTTATTCCAGTCCAGACCTCTCTCCTGAATGTTCATATCTGTAGCTGATGGCCAATAATAGAATGTACCCCAAACTTCCAAACCCTACAGGTCTTCTTTTGCCTTCCCTGATGTCTCCCCCATCACCTGCTCATTCCCCTCCATATTTTTTGTTCTGATTAACAACACCAACATTCACCCAGTAATCAAAATGGAGATCGGCAAGGCCTAGAGGCTAGATGAAGACACAGGGGACCCTTGGCTTAAGGGAGAGTGTGGCTGCTCTTTTTCAACTAACGGCTTCTAGCATATTCTTCAGAAGGAAGGGACAGATACATCCAACATTCAAAGCAGGAAGGAAGTTGGTTGAGAATTGTGGGGGAAGAGTCAGGAGACAAATCAATCTAGTGGCAGAGGTGGGTAGTTGAGAGCTTTCCAGGAAGGAACAGGGTGGACTGAAAAACAGTAGGCTGGGGTTTCCTTACTTCTGCAGATACCTGGCACTGGCACAAGAGAGATGAAATATGACTGGGTTTCTTTCTACCTGTGGGGATTCACAAGACAGAGTTGGCAATAAAGTTAAATTAAACAATCAGATACTAACATAGCCTGTAATGGAACATCTAGAACAGGAGAAAATAAATGAGGGTCTAAAATAGGTCAGGGATGTTGTGAGAAGAAGGGAATGGCTAGATGAATCACTCAAGGTGTTATGGTGA